GACCTTTAGTCCTTGAAATCTAACGTTTAAACTTGAACACCAGTAACTGTACCCCGACGCGGCGGAAGCTGTAATCTAACCCAAAATCTCTGTGGAAAACTTCCACAAGAAACCCTTTTTTCCTGAGGAAATGTTTCAGGATTTCGAGTCACTGTCTCTCGAACCATCGTACTGTGCGGAACATTCGAAAAGTACTGGCGAAATTATCAAAACTGTTGGAAAAAACTTGTGAATTGTGAATACAACTTCTTTAAAATAGGGTGTTCTCGAGCACCCCGGTTGTAGCCCAACCGAGTTCTGTGTTATATTTTCTTCAACTTTTATAAATATCTTCTCCCGCAACAAACCTTCGTGACACAGACCACCTCTTGTTGTTTTGATACTCACATCCACGTGGGAAATGTTAGACGTTTCATGTATCGATTTCCGCCTGAAATCTCTCAGCAGATGAGTGTTTGCTTCTTTTTTTTTTCTTAACCGACAGTGAAGAGTGCGGGGTTTCGTCGACCCCTTGGACGAAACACGTGATCCCACAGTCAGCCTTGTCCAAACAAGTGCCTTATCCCATCAACGCCGGAAGAAACATCGCTATCGAAGGCGCTACGACCATGTATATACTTCCCTCGGATGTGAAACTGGTTCCAGGGCCTCGTTTCCTGTCTCACAAGGTATCTCTTGATTACACCCTTGCCTGCATCATCTTCTTTGTACAGTGGAATCCCGTTATTCGAGGAGGAATCTCGTTTCAGCGAATTTTTCATTCTAACCATTTCTTTTCTTATTCTTGGCAGTTTTTTTCTGATGGACGATGTTTTGAAAGCTTTGTTGAAACCAACTTATTTTCCTCTATAATCTCAGCAAAAAAAAAATGTTGGATTATTTGTGCATTAGCCATACGATATTCAGTGATTAGTATCATATGGGGTTATAGATGCTTCTGCATGATTGAAAATCATTGAATGAACTACCAATGCTAATATTTTTGCTCGAAAAATTCTGTACTGCCGGAGGTAGAGTATGAAGATAAAATCAGAATGTATTTAGATTAATTTCAGAATTTATAAATGGCTCAATCTTGAAACAAAATCATGTTCGGGACTCGGGAGTACTATATATTGCTATATCCCAGGGAACATGCAGTACTTATTAGCAAATAAATGCTCTTATTGTATTTATCTTCTTGAACTTTTTCTCCTGCCTCTGGGACTTCGTTGTACTGAGATTTTACTCTAAATCCATCGCAAAACGGTGTCGATTTGGAATGTAATGATCAATAGAGATGAGTTGTTCATGGTTCGCCAATGTCCTGATTCCTGAACCCCTCGAATTCCGTTTTTTTAAATCAAATTCCCGGGATCTGCTTTGAACCAAGCTGATTTTGAATATTCTCCTAAATTTAGCATCTTTAAGTCTATCCATACATGAAAATAAAACCAAGACATGGGAAACTGCGGAATTTTCTGTGCCCAATATGAAATGCCGGCAATACTTTCCTGCATCTTTCCGTTCGTAATGATTGCATCAGGTTCTCTTTTGAGCTACAGTATTTCCTGCAAAGTTGGATACTTGATCCTTATTTTAATATTTGAAAAATTCACAATTTTAGAATCGAAATACAAAGTCCTTGAAAGCACAGGAGGCTATTTAATCTTTTTGGACTGACCGTTTCCCAGAAAAAGATCCTCATCGAGATTTTCCGTCATAACAGGTAAATTTCAGGACCTGATAAAATTTCCGGTATTCTCAAAGAATTGGTTCGTAAATCGAAGATTTTAAATTTTATTTACCAGGCGTAAGCATTCAAAAGTAAAAAAAAAAGCATTGTTACTCAAAATTGTTCTCATTCCCGTTAGTCCTGAATCTCCCGAAATTTTGAATATTTCCATGATCCAAAATTATGAAAGGATATAGGTTTTATTTCGGTCCTGAAACGGTATAGCCTTCTCTTCCTCTTTGAAAAATTTACTGCGTTTTGTTCACTACAAGAATTCGTTTATATTCCAACAAGTTTCTGCGAATGATTCGCGAAAGACGAGACCTGAAATTGGAGGAGCGTGCTGACGTGGCATTTGCGTTGCACTTGTTCGAGGTCGACGATAAAACAGGTGACTTCCCGATGCCCGACAAGAGGATTCTCATGGAAAACATTCGAACTCGAAGGGCATTCAGATTTCATATCAAGGTTAGATTTCCAACGTGATCCATGGATCATAGTCCCTTATATTATCATGAAATTCCTCATTAGTGTGTATAGACAAAAACGATTGCTGATTTTATTTAACATATTTTGAAGGCTCCATGTTACTCTTCGAAAAAGGGAATAGTTCAGGTAAGTGCAGGTCATTCAATTCTTTAGAAACGTTCACTATATACAGTATCTGCTTTTGTGGTTTAACTGTCATTATATTGTTATCCAAAAACTATTTTACGAAAGTTGTT